TTGTAATAATCTCAACCATAGGATTCACTATTTGACATTTCTCTGTGATAAATAGTTGAAATCAATAAGCTGGGTCTTCTTGTCTCCATTATCTTTATGATACGACAGTTTGGTGTCAGCAGTGGGATTCCTTGTGCGGTTCTTGTAATAAATCTGAGGTAAAAGAGGCATAGTTTTATATTTTTAACCCATGCCTGAATTTTATCCTATTCATAATTTATAAATAGGACCTTTCCAGAAACCTCCCACCACTATCAGAAGTGGTAACAATCAGGCGACTCCATTTTACTGATCACTGTCACCATGAAGGAATGTGTCTGTTGTGTTTTATTCTGGGAACCAGTACACGGTGAGAGGAAGAGGACGACCAGCACCAGCTTACATCAACAGGTTGATGGTTGATACAAGACTTTCAATCCCTGAAATCAAATCGACCATGATGGATCGGAGTAAATAACAAGACATCTGTGGGGATCTATGAAATTTGACTAACTAACTAACTAACTAACTAACTAACTAACTAACTAACTAACTAACTAACTAACTAACTAACTAACTAACTAACTAACTAACTAACTAACTAACTTTTACTGATGTATTTTTTTTTTCTTTTATTGAGGCTTTTATATGATTGTTCTTGTTTTGCGTTCATGCGCCCATCTTAACCAGGAATCCCTGAAAAATAAATAATCTATCTCAGCTGGACCTTCCTAATAAAATAAAAGTTACATAAATAAATAAATGTTGTTGTTGTCTTTTGTTTGTTTGTTTTTCAGAAAAGCGATCAGAGGAAAAGCTGAAGTTGCCTCCGTGTTTCCATGGCAACTGTTTTTAGTACCTACTAACTTAAGGTACCAGATAATTAATAAATTGACTAAATTAATAGCTAAACCAGTCTTAAATGTTTTTGGCTTGTTTTTTTTAAAAGATGACATTAGTTCTTGTTTTGTTTGCCTGACTAGATTAAACTAAACCGAACTGTATGATATTGCTGATGAAGTTTAATGGTTTAAAGAATATACATTTGCTGAGGACCAGATGAGTGAGTGTCCAGCTTTGAGCAACAGATAATTAATCTGAAAGTTTTTGCCGTGTAAAGGTTTAGTGATGTATATGCTGGGCCCTGTTCTGATCACAGAAACAGCTTTAAAGTGAAAAACAGCTGCAGACCTCTCATCTTGCTTGTTGGTGAACGCTTTTGATCAGTCAAAGTTAAACACACACAGCACAGTGTGCACGCTTTGCAGAAAGTTTCCTCACGCACTGAAGAAGTTTCTCATGACTGTTATTATATTTCAACACCGGCAGGAATGAACAGAGAACAGAGGCTATTGATTCATATCATTTTCTCCCACGGCACAGCGTGCACACTTCACCTCTCCTCACTGGACGCTGACCAGAACAGCCATTGTTGAGATTTCCAAAGCCCTGAAAGATTCTGATCACAGGTATTTCTTGTGCACGACGAGTAGGAGCTGACAACGAGAAATGAGGCTGTTGTTTTAATCACAGCCTCATAGTGATGAAGAGAAGAAAGCTTAATTGCTGCTGCACCTGCTGCATTCACCGTGTCTGCTTTAAATGTTCGTGTTGACAGAACGGACCCTGCAGAACCAGAAGACTTTCATCCGCTGAAACACACGCTGCAAACCCAACATGCAGAGTTGTGAGTGATTAATTGGTTCTTTCGTGCATGTTGTTACACGGACGAGAGGTGACCTGCAGCAGATGAAGATGCCCACACAGATCATGCTTCTGTTGCCCCTCTGTCACAGCAAGGAAATGCAGCCCAGAAGCAACTGATTACCACAAAGAATCTAGTCTTTGCTGCTGCAAAGAATCAAACCAGGGGTCTGCAACCTGTGGCTCAGGGGCCACATGTGGCTCTTTAGTCCTTCATCTGCGGCTCCATGACGCTTTGACCAAAACTTAAAGGAAATGTAATTGTTCTGGTTTTTATACCCACAACAAAAAAGGCTAGTTTTGGCTAGTTTATGTCAGTTTTCTGCAAATGTTTGAAAGACACTACAGTAGTCCCTCGCTAATTCACGGTTAGTTTATCGCGGGCTCGCTCTATCACGGTTTTTCAAAGTAAGATTGGACATGACACACAATTGGCTGATTGATGGGTGAGCTGCACGATCAGCATAGATTTTTATTTAAAATTAATCATTTTTAATGATTTAACAAATGCTACACATTTGTGCAGCCCATACTGCAGGATAAGCTTCCTGCTGCAGCTGATCAGCTGATCTCTGTGCAGAGCTGAGAAGTGGGCGTGGCCAAGAGCGCTTGCAGGTGGCAAAGAGCAGAGGAGGCAGGGAGCTGAAATCATGACATTCTGTGTGATTTTAGAACGTTTAGAGTTTAGAAACATTATTTAGAAAATTGCCAAATATATATATATATATATATATACAGACTAATATAAACTACTACTTATACTACTTTGGGGTTTTTCACTTATCACGGGGCTTAAGGGTACGGCTCCCCTACGATAAATGAGGGACTTCAGTACTATTTTTTAGTTTTTTATCACTTCAAATTGAGATAATTGATTTCTCCTCACATAAAAGGTCACATAGTCCTGCAGCGTTCAGTGTTTTCATTTTCATAAACTACAAGTTTTTACTTCTGTATATGATAGACTTATTTTTTGTCCTAAGATGTAAAAAATATGAGTAAATGTTGAAATTCATTATTGAATATTAGTTTTAGAACGTCACTCCAACTGGTCAGGAAGGCCCCTCCGACTAACTCAAAGTGGCCCATGGGCCACCAGTTGATCATCACAGCAGCAGGTTTTGTGGCTCCGGGTTCTTTTTGATTTAATGAGTGAAGGAGCAGAAATGGCTCTTTGATTAAAAAGGCTTCAGACCCCTGAAGGAAACCCTCATCAGATCCACTTCATTTATTATTTATAATGACAGAAATATTAAACTTTTGTTTGTCTCACAGTGATAGATCAATGTTGTTTTTTTTAATTTTACAAAAACAGATCATTTTCTCCATATTTAAAGGATTTTAGCCATGGATTTGATGTTTTCGACCAAGCAAGTCTGCACCTCCTTGAAGTATTGGATGTGACAGCCCTCTGATGACAGGTAATTATAGAATTACACAGTCATTTCAATTCACGCTCATTTTCAGCACTGACTGGGTGCAGGCATTGGCTCAGACGACGGACTGAATGATGGGAACAATTTTACACGTGGAAGGGTACGAGACTTGTCACATAGCACCATGTGAGGGTTTAAGTCAATTCTAATAATTTGTAAAAAAAAAAAAAATACTTCTACTCTTAGGAAAAAAATCCAATTATATGCAAAATTCCACAGTTGCAAACAAACAAAAAGCTTCTTATGGCCTGTAATGTAACAAGACCAGCTCAGTACTGAGAACCACCACCCACAGACCCAATTTCTGGCAGTTTCCTGCTGTTCTGCTGTGCATCATTTGGCTCTTTGAGTCTTCGGCCCCCTGTAAGGACACATCAGCTCCTTCACACAAACAATGTGCGTTGACATCCACATCCATATGACTGAGTCGCCTCAAACGGATAATTGCATATGCTTTCTGTACAAAAATAGTACAAATAATAAAAAAATAATATAAAACATACGCAAATAGCTACAAATGTTTCGTTTTTTTTTCCTTTTGAATTATGAAGCACAGCTCAGGCTTTCCCTTCTGATCACTTCAGCACCCTGCAAGGACCAAAAGAGGAGGCAGCCTTTTGAATCTTCTTTCTTTCTTTACACGGCAGCACTTTAATTTGCATTTGTGGCTAAAATGAACTCTGTTTACTGACCAGAATTTTTTATTTTATTTTTACAAATGTTTCTGGGCCCAAGCAGTGGTTTAGATTTAAGACTGATTTTCATCCTGGCCAAAATATTTGAAATCAACAATGTTGTCAACATTGTCCCGCGTGTCTCAGAGTTCTCAGAGCTCTTTGAGCATTTTATGATAAACACAATAACATCTGAGAAATATCCATAACTTTTGGAATGAATTATAAACTGCTTCTTGTCTTATTCAGGACACTAAAATTATCTTTTCAAACCAAACGCTGACATTTTCCAGTCAAACTTGGTGAAGTGTTTAACTTGTTTATCTTTATGGCCTCATTCTTTAGTTGTCTCTAATTTTAATTTTCAAGGTGTGTTTTGTAGTAAAATGAACAGATATCTTGAAAACATCTCAACTTTCAGGATGTGTTGATGATAAAATAGACTGATTTTGCTGTTACACAATTCTTTTTAATAGGATTCTCTCCCACCTTTTTGGGGTTTTGCAAACACTTGGAATGCGTTTAAACATCTTTTAGTTTTAATAAAGATTTAGAAGAATAATGACACATATATGCAGCTTTAGACACTTGAATGAGGTTAATATAAAAAAAAAAACACAAGCCTATTTTGTTTGTTCTGGCTGTTTTGTCGTTCAGCACCTTCTACTCCCACTTTCCATGTAAAATCTGCAGACCCTGCTCTCAGCAGAGCCACGTCGTGACCAGAAAGTGCTCTCTGAGCTGAAGAGCCAGATGGATTCAGCTCTCCCCCTGTTTCTTTTGACTTTAGGGTATTAATGAAAAATGAGTGTATTCTACACATTGGAGCCTTTAGACTTATATCATTTGAGGTGAACATCTATAAAAACACTAAAACATGAAGAAAGGAGACACATTTTAAAACTGAGAAATCACTCATCTGAAATAAATCCACAAAAACAGGATGGAATAACTACATTGCATGTTTTTTTAAATGAAGGGGCACATGTTAAGTGATTAACTAAAGTGTTTGTGAGTGCAGTACAAAGGAAGCAGGCCTTGTAGGGCGATCATTCACCAAACCCAGTTGCGCACGACTCGGTGACATCAATGGAGGACGAGGGATCCTGAAAAATGACTCCAGGGTTCAGGATGACGATGGTGTCCGGGAAGTATATAAAAGCAGAGCCTGCAGAAGTTGTCAGCTCATCCCTCCAGACTTGGTTTTAAGGGTCACGCGCGCGGCGGAGGATCTGAGAACAACCATCAACTGCCGACGGCTGGGGAACCAGGAGAAACTGGAAACTTTTCAGGTGAGTCTGGCGCATTGGATGCGTCAGATTTATTGCGCATCGTTTTTGGTAACTCTGAAGCAGCTTTTCTTTTCACTAAAAGTTGTTTTTTAATGTTTTTTTTTATGTCACACTTTTAGGGTTTTACAAGAGGTTCAACACAGCTTCTTCACCGCGGGTTGAAAAGCAGTTTATTAAATGAGCAAAACAAACTATATTCTTAAAAATAGAAAAATAAATTCAGCCAAAATATTTGATAGGGCGCAACAGTTTCCTGGCACATTCTACATTCCTGTGCTCTGTTTTTCCACCAGACGAACAATATTTGACCATGAAGTCGGCATGCCTGCTGGTCTTGGCTTCTCTGGCGCTCTGCTACTTGACTGTGTCGGATGGACAGAGCATCTCTGCTGAGGATGACACGGACCGAGGGACCACCATAGACGACATCATCCTACAGAGAGCAGAGAGCCTGCTTTTGCGATCCATTCTCAAAAAGATGCAGGATGAAAACGGCCAAAACGGTGCGTAAAATGTGCGGTTTTTTATGCGTTTTAAAGGAAAACTGGAATGTTCTCTGCAGTTAAAGCCTAATGCGTTCCTTAATTGTTAAAATAAATCATTTGTGTAGCTTTAAATGTTGAAGCTATTAATGTTTGGACTGTTTTTTGTTGTTTTGAGCTCACCGTGGCAACTAGTTGGTAGTTATAGATTATTTTCCAGAAGATAATTACAAATACCTATAAAAAAAAATAATGTTGTAAATTAATATTTAGGGAGATGTAGCGGGCAACAGTTTTAAGAAACACAACCTTTTCCAGCATAGTGGTTCAAAGTGTCCTTTTATGCGCAATTTACGCACGCAGCAGAGGAGCGGTGAAAGCGCGTGCTGCAGCAGAGACGAGTTGCGGGAAACTAAAGGAGCCTCTAACTGTTGTTTCCAGATGGGATCTTCTCTCATTCTGAATGGGTGACAAAACGGCAGCATCCGGGTAAGAGGTTCAGCGAGGACGTGGAGAAGCGGCAGCACCCAGGCAGGAGAGAGGGGGAGGAGGAGGATGAGGAGGAGCAGCAGGTCTTTGACGTGCAGAGGAGGCAGCACCCGGGAAAGCGTGAAGACGAGATGCGCTCGTTCTTCACCGGGATGCAGAAAAGACAGCACCCAGGAAAGCGCGCCGCGGCGGGCCGCCTCTCCGACAGCCCCCTCGGTCTGCTCAGTGAACTTTCCAAACGGCAGCACCCCGGAAAGAGGTACCTGGTGCTGCACAGCAAACGCCAGCATCCAGGTAAGCGTTACCTCGAGGATGAGGAGGGTGACAGTGACTGGACCACGGACGGAGATGAAGAGCTCCCTGAGTTGGAGAATCGTCAGCACCCCGGGAAACGATTATGGGATAACTCCATCCCGGAATTAAGCACCAGCAGCCCGTGTGATGTTTTGGACCCTGACAGCTGCAGGAAGACCAGCCTGCTGCTCGACTTTCTAGACAACATCAAGAGCCACGCCGAGGAGAAGAGGCAGCACCCGGGGAAAAGGTTTGCTCCGGAGGAAGATATAGAGGAAGGAGAGTGAACAAAACGTCTGGTCTGATTTACTGCAAACAAACAAAAAAATATGTATAAATGAATGAATAAAATATGAGAAATTTAATTTGACACGCAGTTTCCACATAGCATTTCTTTGACATTTTCTTTGGAGCGCTTGTGCGTAATTGTTTCTCCAAACTTGGAACTTTGCCGTATGGGGTTTACCAAGAGTCAGCACGACATGTTCATATATATTCTGGACTATTTTACGATTTATTCTGTTCGTTAGAATAATTATATTTACACTAAATTATTTCAACACTGGCTTCGGAGATGTTGCCTCCGTGAGGCAACTCACTTGTGTCAGTTTAGGACCTGATGGAGAGGAGATGCTGAAAATGGCCACGCTTGAAGCAAATAAATCCAGTCATTGGTTGCTTTGTGTTTTATTTTCTACTTATGTAAAATATAAAGGTCTACAGCAAATAAAGTGTGTCGTTGATTTTTATTTTATTTTACATTACCTCGTGGTTTCATTGGGGATGAATTAAAATAAACTCAATTGAATCTAAAGTTTGTGCAGGTTGCAGCAAATGCCCATTTTTTTATTTAGATGCTGACTTATAATAAGCATGCAGTCAGAGCTGATCAATGCGCTCAAAAAACTATTGATCGGGTGCTGCGTAAATTACGCATCAGCTAAAGACTGTACGGCGTGGATTCATGGATACTTCCTGTCAAACAGCTATGATTGAACTGAATGGGTTGAACTTGGACTTCGTGGTGGGAACTTTTAACAACTATCCAGAAACAAATAACTTAAGTCAAGTTGTGTTTTGGACTTGTGGCCAGTAAAGTGCAAAAAATTGTTTCTTTTCAGTAAGAGTTGTAAATTGTACAAGAAAAGAAGAAAATTAATAGTGACATAATCTTTAATTATCAGCTATTAATTAGTCACATGAGTTAATAATCAGGCAGATGTTGGAATAAATATAAACAGATCTCAAAGATGAAAATAATAAAACAATTCAAAGCATTTTTCCCCTTCGTGTCCTGTCCAACATTGTGGCACTCAAGAATTATTGTCTGAGTGTCAAGGTGATGCCCAACAGATTTCACAAGCAGAACATCATGGCTGGCCTTAATGTTTCACTCGGTGAATAAATAAAACTTTATTAGAATTTGCTTTGAGTTTGTTTCAGATGTAATGAACACAAAGGATGATAAACAAAAGAGAAAAGAAAGGCAGAAAAGTGGGAGAAGGGTTTAAAGGTAAAGAAGGAGATAGGAGTAGAGGAGAGAGAGAGACATAAAGAGAATACAGATCAACATCATTGAATCTGCCTCTAGACCTGCGGAGAAAAAAAAAAAGACAAAACTGAGAAACCACAACAACAAACAACATATATAATGATACTTATAACATCATTAGAAAGTATTTTATACAGTACATGGTAATACAAGATATATTTAGTGGCCACCACAATCCAATTGAGTGTGTATCTGATAAACACCTGGATCTAAACACCTGTGTGAGCATGTTGTCACTATAAGGTTTCTCCATAAAAATGTTCAATAGTGGATGTGGGACCCACAGACCTGCAGCCCAGGACACAGCGATGACACAGGGAAGACTGGAGCCGCAGACACCCAGTGGCCCCCAAGCCAGGAGTTCCCCATCAAGGATAATCACAACCCCCTCCCCCACCCCCACCCCAGAGAGAAGCAGAGGGAAGCCCCCGGCAACTCCCCAGAAGTCACAATGCAAAAGCCCGAGGGGGCTGCAGTGATGAGCCCACAGCCCCCACCGGCAACCCACTACACCGGAACAGATCCAGCTATGGACACGGAAACCCGAGCCTGAAGGTCATACCACCCCCAACAGAGGCCTGACAGAGCCAGGGCACCCGGGTCCAGGCAAGCATCCACCAGAATGGGCCAGCACACACCCAAGCACCCAGCCCCAGACACCAAGAGCCACCAACACACCAGGGGTGGAGAAAAACAGACCACCCAAACCTATGCAGCAGCAGAGCAGCCCATCTGCCCGTACGAGGGCCGGGCACCACCCAAACGATCCGAACCCTGACACTGGCCCAAGCCCAAGCCGCCCAGCCAATGCCAGCGACTCCAGTCCGTCAGTCCATGAAACAACACGTGCCCACGCCAGCCAGGAACCTGCACCCGAGCCAACCCACCACTCCAAACAGGCCAAGGACAACCAACCAGCCACCCCACCCACCTGACAATGAATGAAGGCTGGGGGCCAGAGCAGCAGAGGAAGGTTAGCCCAGCGCACTAAGGACCAGGCACCCCACCAACCCCAAACCATGGACCCAGAGATGCCCGAGCATGCCGCCAGCAGCCACCCCCACCGCGAATGCCACACCAGTCAGTGCCCTGTCAAAGCGAAGCCACGTCCCCATCGCCGCCAACAGCCACACACACACAACCAACCCCCCACTGGAACCCGGCAGCCACCTCAGCCAAAGGGCTGGCCATCGCAACCAGGAGCCTTGATCCAAAAAATATTCGAACGACCCCGGGAGAACTGGAGAACCGGCCCACACCCAACCACCCCCCCAAGGCCCTAATTCTTTCCAATTCCAAATACTCTTAATGCAAACATACTCATGGAAACAAGGGCCTTGACTTGCTCATGCTGCCACCCAGAGGTGGCATGATGCAAGAAAACACAAACCTGTTGTGAAGAGGAACCTGTACTCTTCTTGTAAACAGGAAGTGGGTGCATTTAGATGTTTAAGAAAGCTGCTGTGCCAAAAATAGCTCGAACAACCAAAGCTATGTTGCCACCTAAACGTCTGCCAGGAAGTTTTAGAGACTTCATGCTTCCTGCTGCTGACCAACTTTATGGAGATGCAGATTTCATTTTCCAACAGGACTTGGCACCTGCACAGTGACAAAACTACCAGTACCTGGTTTAAGGACCATGGTATCCCTGTTCTTAATTGGCCAGCAAACTGGCCTGACCATAACCCCATAGAAAATCTTTGAGACATTGTGAAGAGGAAGATGTGATACACCAGAGCCAACATTTCAGAAGAGCTGAGGCCACTATCAGAGCAACCTGGGCTCATAACACCTGAGCAGTGACACACACTGATCCACTCCATGACACGCTGCATTGATGCAGTAATCCAGGTAAAAGGAGAAACAACTAAGTATTGAGTGTTGTACATGCTCATACTTTTCATGTTCATACTTTTCATGTTCATACTTTTCATGTTC